GCTAGTGACTGGTACTATTCAGGTAGGTAGTTACCTGGTTTTCAGTGGGAAGTCGTGACCAATAGGGTGCGGCGGCTTGGTTTTGAGGACAAATACTTGCCAAAGTCATTGGCTAGCGGTGACGCTATGTCGTCGATTGGCAGAAGTTAGAATTCAAGGATCATTGGATCGGTTCCCAGTGGCCTAATGGTATACAAGCTCGCCTTGTATCCGGAAGGTCCTGGGTTCGAATTCCGAGTGGTGCGTACTGCTGAAGAGTCGCAAACTAGCTGTGCAGTACTCTCAGATTTCCCAATGGTTCTCTAACTAGTGTCAGCTCATGATGAAATCTTTGATTTTTTTATCCTTGACAATGTTTAACACGAATTTTGAATTTATAGGCAATCATAGAGTTAGCTCGTTCATTCACGCTTTATCAATCTGGTGAACATGTTTCTGAATATGTCTCTTATGCTCTGACGCATCTGACCGCCAGAATTCGAACACATCTCTGTCATTTCCACGGTGCCATGAAATCCCTGGCTCTTCTCGATATTGGCGACCTGTTATTCTTCCTCCACTTCAAATCACTGCCTCTTTTCACCAGCAATGCTCTTTATAAGGTGAAAGTGGTAGTCGCGATCATTCGTGAAATCAACTTAAGAAAGCATCGTGTTAAATCGGGCTGCGTTCACGCAGACGTCTTCATGCCTAATAGAAAGTGAACAAAATTACACATCGTGTAGTTGTTCGCTTCATCATATAAATTAACGGACTAACCAATCAGTATTTTGGTCACTGTCGACCTCGACAGTGGCTGATTTCTGCTTCACACTAAGCCAATTGACCCATGTGATGACCTTTACAGTTGATAGGTAACAGTGAACGTGATTTTCTGAAAACGAATAATCACGTCACCTTTGAGAACACGAAAAGAGAAATATTGTGCATTAGTCGACTGATTGTGTAATAGTGCGTGATTTGATTATGAATGAGCTGATTGTTGAAATGTTTTCAGGTCAATGTGTGCATGTATCAGTTAGCCATGTTAACATCTACTTGCTTGGTGATCCAATTACCATTTCGTACAACTTGCTGGCTGGGCAACCTCAATCAGTCAGTAGTATACGGCGTCATGTATATATACCCCTACTTTACTGAAGACTATTGGCGATATCAGACAAATCACATTTATCATTGTGAAAACCCAACTCACAAATTAGAGTTGACATTTCACCTCGTCGTCATTCTAAAACAGTAAAATGCAACTGTATTCTGCATAATAGTACAATGACTTGAAAATTTCACTTTCTGCTCAGCTGGTGTTTAAGGAATACAAAATTGTATTTGCAAAGTTCTATCGAACAGGCACGTAGACTGAAATATATACGAGAAATTTGTTTCCTGAATCCAATTATTCCACTACCAAAACTTCATCTCTGTCCATCGTCATAATCATGGGCATTAGATCAAATGACGTCGTGCTTCCAGTCGCACTTAGTGCAGTTGTTATTTTTAATTTTTATTTATGTAAAATACTCAATTGAGTTTGAATTCGCTACGACCAATTATTATCATGTATTTAACCCCTAAGACTAACGTTACATCTCAATCACTTGATTATTGCAATCTAATTATGCTCACGATATTTTCACGTGTACAACAAACGCTTTCCGAGGAACCAGGGAGTGTCGATGCCTGAAATGAGGTGTCTTCTGATCCGTACAAATCCGAAAAGTAATGCATTGCCAATTCTATGGTGCAGATTTGTGAATTCTTCAAACTCACATATTGGCTGATTTATCAATGCACCATCTAAAATATATGGTAAAATCTGCACGGTGTATAATAGCGTCCAGTCGCACACTTTCAGAGATACTGTATTCGCTGTATATGGTGACATCCAGCTATCCGAATTACATATTGACATAGAAGTTCAGTACTACCCATTCAAAGAGGAAGTTTATAATGTAACATATAGTCAAAATTCAGGTGCAGTTTCTTGATTTGTGGTTATAAATGAAATGTAACATGCAGACACATGAACATTACTTTTCAAGCAATTTTCCACAGAGTTGTAATCGTGACACCGCATCAGCAGGCATGAAAGCTAATTTCAGGGAAACAGAAGTTGCTTACATCAGTCAACGCCAAAGGAATAGTGAATAAGCAGAGTTCTCGGGTAAAATGCTCATTCGTCGTGACGAAATAGTGGATAATAATGAAAATTATGTTAGCAGCTAAACTCTAAAACTCATGGAAACTTTGTCCTACTTAATATGCAAATAGGGGAGAACTTAAGAGGCATTGACTTTAGTCGTTGTACATTTAGTTGTAGAATATTCACTTAGCACCTTGTCTAAGGTATAGAACACAGGCAGCACAAATAGGGTGTCAATAAATTTTCGTACTTCGTGTGTATGGGCGCGCAATCGTTCGTAATTACTTCCAGTCCTATGTGATGAGGGGAAATACGGGAGTAGAGAGTTTGAGGTGTTTGTATTCACACAACATGGAATGACTCTAAGTTTCACTTGATTTCAGATGCGTATCGACGGCGGCATTACTGAGCTGACTTATTGAGAGTAAAGCACTTGCCCTCCATACAACTGTTATTACCTTTGTTAATATGACTATTTTCTTTCCTCAGCAGACCTGGAAAGACTATGTTAGGTACAGGGGTGCAATAAGATTATGTAGGATGCAAGATTGAACAAATAGTAGTAGCAGAGGGTAAGTGATAATAAAGTGCGTCTCATATCATGCTGACGTTAAATTTTTGTCTATCAAATCTCAAAACATGTTCCACCGAGTTCGATATTTATTCCATTTGCCCAATAATGGGATAATATTACAACCATTACAACTTCCAAACATCCTGTGAATTTTCAAGTATTGGTTTCGTAGGGATTTTGTTCGATTGCATGGAGGATTTAATCATGAACTGACATCAGTTAGAGAACCACTAGAAAACCTGGGAGTACTAGACAGCTGTTTCCTCCGTCCTAGTTTGGGACTCTTCAGCAGTACGCACCCTCCGGGATTCAAACCCAGAACCTTCTGGTTACAAGGCGAACTCGTAGACCATTGAGCCACTGGGACCCGATTCAATGGTCCTTGAATTCTGACTTCTGCCGATTCACGACATAGCGCAACCACTTCGCAATGTCTTCTTCGATGAGTTACCACCTCATCTTCAACCTGCTGTACCCTACTGGTCACGGCTTCCCACTAAAACCTCAGGCTAGCTGCCTGAATAGGGCCAGTCACTAGCGAGCATCAGAATGATTTTCAAGTATTGGTTTGGTAGAAACTTTGTTTGATTGTCTGAAGGATTTCACCATGAGCTGACATAAGTGCCTCGCTTTGTGACCAGACGGTCCTGGGTTCGATCCTCGGTGGGTGCGTAATGATGAAGAGTCTCAAACAAGGACGAAACAGCTGTCCAGTACTCCCAGATTTTCCAATGGTCCTCTAACTGATGTCAGCTCATGGTGAAACCCTCCATGCAGTCCTGTGAATAGTTCTATACGCGACATCAAATGTTATGGGGCTCATCATTGCATTATGCTTATGAAATCCTAATTATTTAAATTTGACTTGCAATTTCTAATATTATTCACATTACCTTATGAATTCAAACGCATGATATACATTTGAACAGCTTGATTACTAATTCGTTTTTGAAAAGTGTCTCTTCACTGAATCTCTTGTTTTCCGCCTTACTAAAAGTGTTGGAAACTGATTATTAATCTTGGAATGTGAAATACATCAAGATTTGACATCCATTTAGTCAATACAAGAGAGCAGTATGCACTGAATATGTGTTCAGAATTTTTGAAGATAACCCTCATAGCCAGAGAATTAGTGGAACGCACCAACTTAGGGTTACCTGGTGAGCGTCTCGAAAGTCATTCACTCAAAATTCAGTATCTCAAACTTCTATTTAACAGCTGGCCAGATCAGCATACGTTTCAGCGGTTCTACTTTGTACTGTCGGTAAGTGACAAGATCGACTTTGAGATGAACAGAAAATCCCCTCTGAAATTATTTAATTATTGTGACAAAATTCATCTGGTGTGGTGCAGATTTTCTATGGATTTAATGTGAATATGAAGTTTGTTGTGTGGTGTGTCTTTGTTATATTTAACAATTTGGTACCGAAAATGAATTGCCTAGAGGTAAGATATGTGCATGAATTGGCTAGGTGGCAGTCATAAATGACGTAGGTTCGAATTACACCTGCATCAAGTAATTTTAACGTAGAACGAACAGATTACAGAAACGACAATAGCAGTAATCTACAAAAGGAAGAATAACCTACAGAATGCAATGTGTTTTAGTCTTCTGTCAGTTACTGAAGCCTTAGCCCTTCCAGTAAAGAATTCTCATCCATACATGCAGTATGAATTTATTCGACCACTCCAGCTGTCATGCTGATAACCTTGTTGCTTTCTATCCACCTCATTCTCATTTGTTTAATTATTTGTTTGCTCTTGTCACTAATAGACTTTTTGACAACTCAACTTCACAAAATTCCATATTTGCCTTCGTTTTTATGTGCATCGTGATTGCGACTCACTCATTGAATTATTCATCCTAGTGTGTAACTGAGATTCACTTGGTCAGCTCCTCTTATACATTCATTATATAAACAGTTTTGATTGTAATAGCTTATCACTTGTGTTACTATGCTTCTTCACTACAACACAATTGTCCATGCATTTGACTGTAAACGTGAAGGGGAAAATGACTTCATCACAACAACAACGTATGTGTTATTGTCTGCGTGAAAGTATGAAAGAAGACTTCTCTGTCCGTCTTCATATCCACAAATTGTTTACACGACTACTCAATAAAATGAGGATGTCAGATTCTTCCTGTTTTTAAGCGGTTGCATATTGTAAATAACTGTTTGTGATAAACGCAACCTAGATATGAACGACACACTCTCCAGTGTATTAAATCATTCCCCCACTATCTCAACACAAAAGAGCACCACAAAACTTAAAGTAAGCTGTTTTTGAATTTGTATTTCGTGGAGAAGAGCCAGTCTACAACAAGAGGAAGAATAAGACTCAGTAATCAGAAAATAAAATGTATTCGACTCACTACTATCTAAGCTAAGAAAATAATTAAACACAGTTGAAAGTATTGTTCAGTCATACATCAAGTGAGAAGCCTGACTTTGTCATTTTGCTACATCTCCAATGGTGTTTTGCACAGCTGCATTCTAGCTTTGATTACGTGGTCTTGCTCCAGCTTTTACAATGTCTAGAGGAAGAGACAATGAGAGGAGAGACAATAACGAAATAATGAATACTCGTTATTATCAGATTTAATAAATTCGGTGCAAATCATGGAATGCAGAATCGATAAAGTTATACTTCTAGAATCGAAAGCAGTTGTGAAATTGATGGTGGCTAAATAGTCCATTTTGTCTCATTACTAAACTGCCTTTCTAACGGTGTTAATCCTGCTCATAATTTATCAAGACTCTTTCAGTGTTATCTACAGCCAGAAGTTATTCCGACAAAGGAACAGACAAGAACCTGTCACCTAAGAACACTGTGATTAGGAATGAAAGTTGTTTGAAGACATGATTCAGGGCCGATGACTGATTCCATATATCAAAAGACGATTACAGGATATCCTACTGGAAAAATGATGATTTCTTTGTCTGCAGGTGACATGTACGACGTCTTTTTGTGTGTAGGGTAGAAAAAAGTCTACGTGCCGTCATGAAGCCAGCTGAACTGGACTTTCTCATTCAGCTGCTGATTCACGGATTTCGTAAAGCATGGCTCGGTAAGTTTTTCGGTTTTTCTGCCTATATGAGCAGAATTTCTTATGCAAGCACTTCTGGTATCAAAATAGTGAGGACAGATAAAAAGGAAAAGTAGAGAATAACTGAAGAGAAAGTCTGGTGTCTGACGAGATAACTTCAGGCAACTGCATGCAAGAACTGAATTGCCGATTGACAATTATATCAGTTATCTAAGTAAAAGCCAGTACGCTGCAACCATACTCAGAGCTTCCAATGTTAGAGGTGATATGGTTCAGTCTGATTTTATAATAGCCAGGGAAGATAAGGTGAGCTGAATAATGAAGAAGAATACATGAATCGATAAATCGTCAGAGAAGTGGTTGACTGAGACCATCAGAAATTCGCCACTGCTACATGTGGTCAGTAAAACGAAATGTTTTCTCAGAAAACGAGGACATATGAGACGGCCAACCGCCTTCCACAGTGCTGTCAATATAAAAGCAAACAGTCTGTACGAGTCCTGCTTACATCTGAAACTGAAATCAACAAACTGTATGACATGAAGATGGATTAAGTTTGAGGAAATTTTGAGTGATACAATGTGTTCACCTCAGATAAAAACATATTCATAAGCGAAGGATGCAACGCAGGTGGTCATATCATCGGCATATTCAATGAAATTAGCCTCGGAAGAATTCGAAGATCATGCAAAACGAAGAAAGACATTGAGAACATACAGCGCAAGCCAGTTTATGTTGGCGACGAAGTAGAACACTCTTAATTCAAACAGTAGGTTTTTTTCCACTTTTATGGACACTCATCGCTACCAGTTCCACCACTACTGCCCTAGATGTTATTATTATCATTATTGTCGCCTGTTGTATAAATTTGCTCACGGGAACTAATTGAAGTATGTTGAGAGTGAGAACAACCTGGTCATTAAATATGATACCACAAATATGATGCTATACACACAAGACAACTTTGACACAAACTGGCCCTCGTTTTCTATGCAAGAGAAGGGTCTTTCGAAGATGTAAGTAGTATTTTTGAGAATTATGTGAGCACATTTATGTTAACGTTATCAAGTAATTCCGATTTTATGTTTCAAGTGTCACATAATTCACATTAAAAAGAAGACTCACATAGAACCATTACGAGTCCCTTGTTTGCTTGTCAGCTCATCTCCCTCTGGTGGTGTCAAGTCAACCTTGTATTTGCAGTCATTATCGTTAACAGTCAAAGTAAAGCCAGAGTCCAAAGTGAATATTATCCCGTCAAAATTGACAGTGACACCTCCTGAAATTAAAATAAGTAAAAGAAACTTTAATGGTGTACAGTGTAGATTAGAAATCTAGACAAGTCGACTTAATGCATAATTGAAGTGAAGTAATAATTATCTGAAGATCAGTTGACTTTCGAAGTTCAGTTGGTAGAGATCAGCAATGATAATCTGTAGGCGATTGATTCATATCTTGCGGGAATATAGCATATGGAGTGAAGTTATATCAGTAATGGAATCATTTATAAACAAGAATACCCGAACATTCACTTAATCGTAGTCCAATACTCTTCATCAGTAGGTCCACATCATCTACTGTGGATTGAAACCAGAAAATTTGGGTTGATGAAATGATCTCACTGATTATTCATTCACCAGGACAGAACGCAGTGTCTTAAGAATTCTAACTGTTGCTTGTTCGTTTGATATAGCACCGACGTTATCCGATCTCATCATTTATGAGTATATGTTCTAAAAGATGTAGTGATGAATTCTTACTGGAATTCCAGGTAACATCAACCTGCGAGTAATCAGTAAGTCAGCGAGCAGTGAGAAGTAGAATGATTTTCAGGAATTGATTTGTAACGATGCTTAGTTAGAGTGATATCACATTTATTTCAGTCATTAACATACATAGAAAAAGTATAATTTACCCTTATCATTAACTGCCATTGGGAGCGAATGAAAGAATGATTCAGTCATCAAAATATTGACTATGCATAGACTGACGATTATTATGAAGTTTAATTTTGACCTCTGAGACAGCATTCTGCTAAAAATACGTAAGAAAGGAAAAACGTAATGAAGTGATTTGAAATGAATTACAGAAACTGACTTTAACTTTATCTTTGGGTTTGGACTGGTACGTGCAGCTGCAACAGCAAATCTCAATTATTCATATTCTGACCTGACCTGTTATTTCTCATCTCCAAACTCACAATATTTTATTTAAACTATCGTCAAACCCATGCACCACACTGAACACATCAATGGCGTACGGTTCTAAACTGACATAAGTAGAAGAGATAATTGAAATACTCAGTTTTAAGGTTATTTTGGCTGTTTAAGCTGTGTAGGGTGCAGCAGACAACTGACAGACTTAACAACAGATCGGCAAAAAGCCTCTCTAGTGATGAGAAGACTTCAGTCATGCTTTGCAACCAACAAAGCAGTCAGCCAACTAGAAAACCAGCAGCATCACTACTATACAACTACTCCTCTCAATAAATAAATAACATATGGTGTCGCGCATCCATCTTTGACTGCACAGTCGTAAATATATCTTGTATATGGTACCGTGCGCATACCAGATGAGAGCCTCTGAATAGCGAATCATATCTTTATGAATGAATTCCTGACGAATTATTCAGTTGGTTACAAAATTGTGCAAAATTCTAAATTGTTTTCCACTCGAAGAGATGTTTATCTACATGGCTAAACATAGTGACCTGAATACATCTCAACAATCAGCTTCATCGAATCACGTATTTTTACACAATCAGTCGACTAATGGTTAGTGTTTGCCTTTAAGTGTTCCTAAAAGTGAACTGATGAATTTCTTGAAGAAAATCACTTTCAGTGTTATCTTTAAACTCTCAAGGTTAAAACATGAGTAAGTCGGCTGAGTGTGAAGCAGAAATCCGCTACCGTCAAAGTGAACTGTGATAAGTATGTCTAGATGATGAATCTGCTGCTTCTATTGCAGAGGAACAGATGCACACGGTGTGCTGTTTCCAGTCACGTTCTACTTGTTACACATTATTCTGCATTAACATAGGCATATTTGCCTTAAGTTGATACTCTGAATGGTGGTGACCATCAATTCCAGCTAATAACGATCATTACGAGTGAAATGAGTCAGTGGAATTTAAGTGAAAAAAGAATGACAGTGCAACGATATTGAAAAGATAAAAGGGATTTCGACTTACGACAAAAATAGCAAATAAATGTTCTGCTTCTGATGGCTGGGTCAATCGGAAAATAAGAGACCCGCACAAATAGATTTTTTCCGTATATGAAGGAATAACCTAGCTACAGAGTCAAAATCTCAGTAGAAATTGAACGGTTATATTGTTTCATCTTATTGAGAACGTTTCGATGGAAAGCAAGAAACTGACAGAAGAATCAGCCAGTGAAAATAAGACTTCAAATGAACATGGAGAAATGGTAAACAGTATCAGTGACTATAGGCAGTTGTAATCCCGTATTCACGGTCATAATAGACGCAATTGTTGCTGTCAGAATGGATGAAAATGTCAAAGCCAACTGTATTCAGGAAACTCAATCAATACACAGTTTCATCACTCTAAAATAAATTGGAATCTTCTGCGCTCCCACAGAGCATAGAGAATGAGATTCCGAATTTCGGCGGTCATATCAAGTCGGTCAGTCGATCACTTCTTCTAAGTCAATATAGAGGCTGCCTAGAGTGTCACGAAAAGCGTTTCCTTCAGCCTGCTTCATGATTCCATCAAGAGCTGTCCTTGATGTTTTCGTAGTGTATATCGGGTGGCCGGCGACAAGGAGTTAAAAGGAGGCAATTTTCGGAATGTACAGATTGATGAGCTACTACTCAAGAAATATGGTTTGTAAAATGCAGGTGAATCAGAAATACACTTGGGAGAACGTTGACTGGCATAGCGGAACACGACATGCGATATATAACTTAATATATTTAGACATCCATCTGCGACATTATTAGTCCATCTAAATATTTGAGAGTTTAGGGCTATATACATATTTTTACACGTCTTTCAGACTGAAATTTCTGAATAAATCTTACAATCAACAAATTTTGCCTGAACAGCTTCTCCTTTACAACTCCAAGAATCATTAACAGCCACTTAGCTATTGAGTAAATTTGAATATCCTGTACAGAAGAAACGACATATCTTGCTAACCACATAGTCACATCGATTCCATCCGTTCTGGGATACTTGAAATCGAAGTGAGTGTCTTTCCTAGCATCCGAAAACCTTCATGGATTATCTAAAGATGATTGATAATCACTGGAGACACATGACAATATTGTCAATCGAAAGATGATAGATGATTTTTGAATATGGAGTTAAATAAAAATTCGAAACGCAAATAAAGAAACAGGTTTAACTTTCTGCTCAAAAAACAAACAAATTTCCTTAATTCTTCCTTTGTGACACCACTACTAAATCAGACGAGAATTGTAACATTTGGACCTACATTTTGAGATGCAGGTTTAATGCTCAGTTTCATGACTAGATAGATAAAATACCTTAAATGCGTAAATGCTTTGTATAAACAACACCAAAACACGTTGAGTGAATTAGGGCAGAAGAAATATTCAGTGATGCAACACTCGGGTGACGAGTCTAAATTAGTACTGCATAACAAATTCATCAGAGTATATTCTAAAGGGATCTCAGAATGAACAGATAGAGCTAGAAAGATATTTATCAGGAGACTTTAGAGATGACTTTATCTAGTCGGATCTACAGTTATCCGCGCACTTACAGATTACTTCAGGCATATAAATCTACGTTCCACTCTAAACAATAGTAGATTTCATAAATTATAAATAGCGGAGTGGCTGGTCAGGATTCTTGGACCAGTGAAGGAGAGATTGTCTGCGCAAAATCTCTGCAATATTCTGATATATGGTGTCTTTTCGAAACGAGAATATGAATCCTTCTCAAACACTGATTATATATATTACATATTATATTATAAGAAAAATCACACCACTGGAACTTACTCGTAATGTGGGATGAATAGTCACTAACTAAATTCGTGCTGATATAATATTTTATTCGACTGTTTATACCCAATAACACACTACACTATTTCATTCATTGGTTACTTCCACTGACCAATCAGAAATTACCTGATTGTGTGTGTTTATGATTGCGTGATGCACCGTAATTCATACATATTTGGATTTGACTGGATAAGAGAGAGAAAGCCTAAACGAATAATAGTGATGATATTTGGAAACAAAATGTACCTTATGAAATATATTTTGCCTATTCATATCTAATTATTCAGTGTTATATAAATAATTAAAGAAGTAATTTGATGGAATGTAACTCGCCGTGGATTACACGATGTGATCGACGGACACTGCTCAAAAAAGCTGGAGGCTATCGTTGATTCACTGTTCTAGTACATGAAGCTTGGACATAGGAAAAGTCGAGTACTTAGTTTGAATATCACTAGGGACACAAAATACTAAGTGTTATATCGAGAAGATGAGTGCCAATTACCGCTGAACATTCATCTTGGTTTGGCTTCGACTATCTGGTCACATCACCGATGCACCCGTCCTAGAAGGCGCCAACTTGTAAACAGAGGCTAAACATTTAGGTCCACTCAGATGACAGGGAAGTTCAAGTTGATATTGATTAGGGAAGAATTGAAAGATAACGAAAACTGCTAGAAAAGTGTTTCGTCATTGTTTGTGATTCATCATCATCAGTAAGTACAACCTGGGTTAGTATAAGTGACAATTCATCTGCAATGGGCTAATTGACTTGAGTCCCAATGACTGAATTGTCTATGACCAAGTATACCTTGTAACACGGAGCCCATATTTCTGAACATTCGTGCTGAGTGTTTCCTTCCGTTGAGTTGAAAACTAAGCTGCCGAAACAGCTTACTGTCCAGTAAATGCCGTATGTTTTCAACGGTTTTCCAGCCGATGACAACCCATGAGCAAAGTCGAAAGCATATTGATCCTTATGAACAAATCCTTAGGAAAAGTAGTCCAAATTGACTGAAAACTAAAAGAACAAATAATGAAGCTACTCTTTTTGCTGGTATTTATATGACAGTGCAGATGACTAATCCGAATCGTATACACGAAATTCTGCTCGCTTACGCTCCAAAATAGTTGATAGTAATTTGGACTATAGGCTGATAACACCCTGAATAATGCATTGTACAAGTGAGTTTATTTTGTAACCCATAGATTTAAACACAGACACCTGACTGTCTGAATCCTTAGAATTCTGCTCGAATATCACGACATTTAATCGACATTGTCTGATTGAATTCTGCCACTTCTCAGCAGTCAGACAATATATGTTTTAGTAACATTTCCACAGCAGATGAATCGTGAGCACAAATAGTTTAGCAGTAACATCTCTGGTTGTAGCACTAAATAAAGCGATCACAAACTCCAAAGACGATATTAGTTTCACCGGAGTCGGAGATAGGCCTCACTGATAATTGGTAAGAAGTACTAGGAAATTGGATATCTGCCAAATGCCTGCAAATATCTCAAAGTGGAAAACATTTGTTCCCTTGCAAATCTAAAGATAGACAACATCAGTTACGGGAAGTGCAGGAATGCATTTAACGATTCATTGGAAAATTCAGTATTCCAGTAACAACTTGTGTCATCCTTAGTATGAAATAGTCCTACGTGGATATGACGTCATTTGATTGTTAACTGTAGTTACCGAACTTTGTGTTGGAGAGTCATGATCATGCGGCTGTTTGATCGAATTCAGTTTATTCCCTGACTGAGATAGTGTTTGAAAATTATAATAATAATGAAATAATGGAAGTCGGATAAGTTCTTTGATTTCTACGTAGACAACAGTTAACTTTGGATTCCCATACTAACAGCCATATGGATGAGTGGATTACAGATGTTGTGTTAGTGTGCGTGAAACAAGAAGTATAATGGTTTGTTCAAAGGGAATGAAATTTGTCTTCAGCTGAACCTACAGTGTTGCTTCACCATATACTGCAGATGACTACACAACACGAGACTAGTTATTTCTGTCAGTTTTTCATAGGTGTGAACTCGTGCGTGTGTGTGTGTGTAAACACCGACAGTGATAGTGTGAGTGCAAGTGTTAAAAAACAACCGCTAAACACATACCAAGTGTATACAGTTTGAATTGAACAATGTTCCGTCACACTACATTGATGATGTAGCTTTGAAAGTCTGCTGGGTACGATTTAGGAAAGCATTTTTATGAACAACTTTGAAAACAGTAAAATGAATGCTACAGTACATCAGACAGACTTCTAGACTAGGTGTATCAACTATACGTTTGTCATTTTTGATTTTTTTCATGTCGCGTCTCACATTCTTAAAGTTCAAATATTCCTCATCCTGATATGAAGTTTACAAAAGAGCGTTAATGCTACGACAAGTAACACTTCCTTGCCCTTACAAACGAATGTGATACAGGTCCTGAAATAATTGGGTGCACTTTTAGATTGTTGAACTGGAAGGCGATTTACCGAAACGTCAGAAGCTTATGAATTATGAGTTACAAACTTGAATTAATGAGAACGCTGTTTGCTCGTGTAAGAAGGCTTCATTCAGAAGAAAAAATCGAGGAAATAAAATAAACTATTGAAAAATGGCAATATGAAAATCACTGCTAACAGAATTTCATGAACGGAAGCTTAGTGCTGACATGGTGCAGTACAGTACAGAAGATTAAAGAAGACAATATTCTACCTCTTACAATCAAAGATGAAACACTACAAGTTCAAAACATCTGGACTGAGCGAATGTTACCTAAGTATAAGTGTCACCCTATCAAAAAATACTTAAGAAGGTGACTCATGACTCTTGAAAACACAACGCAGAATCATTCAACAGCTGTGAAACAATTCAATTTGTCATGTGATACAAGATAATAGTCTTAGAGAAGTCTTTGAAGTGTAAACAGGAATATGACAGGGCCTTCAGTCTATTATCATATACGATAATCCTAATTGTGGTTGACTTCATTATGTACAGCGATTGACATATTCATAAATCAAACTTCTGGAGCATTTTATTCTCACTGCACATCTACATTAAGATATCCTCTACTACCTAAGCAATCTTGCATGCAACCAGTAATGGAAAAACCTATTCTCGCAAAGCTGCAGCTACAACTGCGTTAGTGAATGCCTTTAATGAGAAGCAAGTGAAATAGATACTTCAACTTACGCATGCGTTTAATTTGGGCGTCAGCTCATAAGTGCTGTCATCCTTAGGTATGTGACATCATGTGACATATGATCTGAATCCATTTCAACTGACTCTAAATATCTCAACCTCTCTATTCACAGGTTTCTCCGTCCTGCATCTCATCAGATGGGACTTTAAGTAATTGAAGATTATAATTTCACACAAGGAATTTAGAAAGCTTAGTGGCATCACATTTGTTCCACCGTACGTATATGCAACTAAGACAGTATGTAGCGTAGTACTTTTTTCTAATGTGTGACTGACAAAACCAATGGCTCTTTTATCTTCCCCCTTATTTGTAACCTATTGTGACATAATTTCGAATACTTTGACGTTTCGCTTTTAATATTCATCTCATTAGTATACACCTTTTGTGTGCATTTGAATTCATTGTTAATTTTTTTGAGCTTTCTCACTGAACGCCTCGATTATCCACTGTTCCCCAGGTGTTCACTGACGAAAGTGATCTCTGTTCTTCGAACAGATGCTTTCCCTCTGTCTGGCATATCTTAAATATTACACACCTCCAGGAAATTAAAACGAAGAAAGGCATTCATGCTTCTGTATATTACATATGAATTTCATACACAAGCGATGAAAATTCAGCTCAATTTTGACTTCTTGTTCCATTGTGAACTTGATGTTCAGATGATTAGTATGTAACTTCTATGCTGATCAGTATTTCGACTCACTGAATTTCACCGCATACAGATAATACAATACCTCCAAATATGTGTGACTGAACGTCAATATGTACAATGCATATTTCATCATAGTGTGTTTTAGATGTTGCACACATAAATACACCAATCGCCACATCAAAGTGGCGATGCACCACGCTCAACTCTTCTCTTCTCATTCGTCGTCTTCTCGAGTGAAAACCTGTAGTGCGTTGTCATCTTCAGTATGTGTCCGATACACTTTTGTTTCCTTATTCATACTTCTTGATCGATAGAATCTCGATTGGTTCATTCCCTTCAGTTTCTTGTTGATAGTGATTTCTGGCCAGCTGTCAGTATGATCTTTATAATACAGCCAGCGATAACAGCTGTCGATGTTAGTCTGTAGCTGCCTGTTGGAAATGTAGGTGTGTCTTCCTTTTCGAATTCAACTTTTCTCATCCCCGTCACTATCGACTGCCTGTTGTTCAATTATTACTTCCTAGTTGAGTGAACTAAACGAACGCCTTCAACGTTTTCCACTTGAATATATATCATATTATCACTACCTGCAACTTGATTGTGTTTACCTGAATTCGCATCTCCACTCTCTACTGTTTTAGCTAGCTCGATGGTTTTCTCCGGGGTAAATTTCTGATATGCATCACAGTAGGACCTAATCATCCACGAATTCCAGATCTTCTATAGTTCTTCTTTTTGGTGGAACGTATTAGTGTAGTTGTGATATCCACTAGCAGTTTTGCGCATAATACACTTGAGGAGTGCAGAATATTTCCTGTTATTTACCAGTGATGAAGGTCTGACTTGACTTCCTAAACTTCAGCCGTCTTCGACATTCTCATCCGTTCCGACTGTCTGTATTATAGTTGACGGTTCCTAGTGTTCGTGTCAGTAGTGATTGGTGCTGGTTTTTGTCGTTGTTGGTATTGTGGTTGTCATTGGTTTTGATTGTGGTGGCGCTAGTGCTGTTGATATTATTCGTCACATCCGTCTCCTCGGTGCTAACTTGAATTTCTATGTCCGCTGGCTGATTCTCCCTCCAGTGTGTTGATCCTTACCAGTAATTTCGCGATTAGAGGAGCTCTGAGACATATGTGGCAGCAGCATCGTGTGATTTT